TCCACATGTTCAAAATATATCATGAAAACTGCTACTGGAGAAACAAATGTTGTCACTGGCATTGGCACTGTTAAAATTACCCCTTCCATGACCTTAACTAATGTCCTTCTTGTTCCTACATTAGATAAGGATCTATTATCTGTGTCCAAACTTACGGCAGAGTATTCTTCCCATTTTTTCCCACAACATTGTTATTTTCAGGATCTTCACACTCAGGAGGAGGTGGGTCGTGGTTTTAGGAGAGGGGATTTATGGTACTTTCATGGTTCAAATTCAGACATTGTTGCACATCAAGCTAATAAGCAAGTTCTGGAGAATGAGAAGATGATTTGGTTGTGGCATCAACGGTTAGGACACCCATCATTTGGATATTTAAAGCACCTTTTACCTTCTTTGTTTGCTTCTTGTAATAAAGAGTTTAAATGCTCTACATGTGAGACTTGTATTTTCGCCAAAAGTCATCGCACTACTTTTTCCTCGAGCGATAACAAGGCATTGATGCCATTTACTTTGGTCCATTCTGATGTTTGGGGTCCTTCTCAAACTACTACATGTGGTGGTATGCGATGGTTTGTGACTTTTATTGACGACTGCACACGTATCACCTGGATTTATTTGCTCAAACACAAGAGCGATGTGAGTCGTATTGTTAAGGAATTCTGTACGATGGTTCAAACTCAATTTGCTACCACTATCAAAGTGTTGCGTTCTGACAATGGCAGTGAATATGTTAATCGTGATCTTGCTGAATTCTTTATCTCCCAAGGAATGATTCATCAAACATCATGTCCCTACACTCCACAACAAAATGGTGTTGCTGAGCGTCGCAATCGCCAACTCTTGGAGGTTACCCGAGCCTTTCTGATTCATCACAATGTTCCCAAGTATCTATGGGGGGAAGCATTGCAGTCTGCTATATATGTGATAAATCGAGTGCCTTCCAGTGTACTTGGATTTCAAACCCCGCTTCAGGTTCTTCAAGCTAAAATGAAGACCATGCCTCCTGTCACTAACCTTCCTCCAAAGGTGTTTGGGTGTGTTGCCTATGTTCATGTACTTCCTCATCAGCGAAGTAAACTCGACCCATGTGCCATCAAATGTCTTTTTGTGGGTTATGCTTCCCATCAGAAAGGCTACCGTTGTTATCACCCGCCTACTCGCAAGATGTTTGTTACTATGGATGTCACCTTTCATGAGGATTTATCCTATTTTTCCATTGATGGCTCTCCTCTTCAGGGGGAGAATGATGGTGTAGAAGAGAATAGCCATGAGTGGCTTACAATTTCTGCATCTAAGTCTAATAATGTCCCATGTCTGGATGCTCAAGTTGAAACTGAAGCTTCTGATTCTGTCCCATGTGTGGATGCTGAAGCTCACACTGAGGCTATCATTGATGACCAAGAATTCAACTTTCAGACACCAGAAACTGAAAACACCATGGAAACACCATCTTATTCCCCTCTTTCTCCACGGCCCATCCAACCTACTCGAGAGGTCCCACATGAGGTAACTCCTGAAACTAATGATGTTTTAGGTAATTTAAATAACAATTTTGAGTCTCAACCATCAAAATATCAATTGCCTGTTCGAACAAACCGTGGTAAACCCAAACCTCAATATACTGCAGACCTAAATGCTAAAGCCAAATATCCCATCAGTAATCATGTGTCAACCCATAGATTATCCAAGTCATATGAGTCGTTCCTATATCAAGTATCTACTGTATCTATTCCAAGACAGTTGCAGGATGCATTAGCAGATGCAAAATGGACCAAAGCTATGGCAGAGGAGATGAGGGCTCTACAAAAGAATCAGACATGGGATGTGGTTCATTTGCCTCCAGGAAAGAAGACTGTTGGATGCAGATGGATTTTCACCATCAAACATAAAGCTGATGGCTCTGTCGAGAGGTACAAAGCTAGACTGGTTGCTAAAGGTTATACTCAGAAATATGGTGTAGACTACAATGAGACTTTTGCTCCTGTAGCTAAGATCAATACTGTGCGTATATTACTGTCTTTAGCTGCTAATTATGATTGGCCTCTATTGCAATATGATGTTAAGAATGCTTTCCTACATGGGGAGTTGAAAGAAGATGTGTACATGGATCTTCCACCAGGTGTTCCAGAAAGGATAGGAATGGTATGCAGGTTAAAAAGGGCATTATATGGATTAAAACAGTCTCCTTGATGTTGGTTTGGAAGATTTGCACTATCAATGAGGAAGTTTGGGTACAAACAGAGTAACTCAGATCACACATTATTTCTGAAGCATAAGAAAGATAAGGTAACTGCTTTAATTATTTACGTGGATGATATGATATTGACTGGAAGTGATGATAATGAAATTGATAAATTGAAGAAATATCTGTCAAGTGAATTTGAGATGAAAGAGTTGGGGGAATTGAAGTATTTTCTTGGGATAGAAGTGGCCAGATCAGACCAGGGCATATGTCTTTCCCAAAGGAAGTATGTTTTAGATCTCTTAACTTACACAGGTATGCTTGGGTGCAAACCAGCTGACACTCCAATTGAACAGAATCATAAGTTACAAGAAAATCCTGGTGATGTTCCCACCAACAAGGAAAGATATCAACGACTGGTGGGTAGAATGAAATTGATAAATTGAAGAAATATCTGTCAAGTGAATTTGAGATGAAAGAGTTGGGGGAATTGAAGTATTTTCTTGGGATAGAAGTGGCCAAATCAGACCAGGGCATATGTCTTTCCCAAAGGAAGTATGTTTTAGATCTCTTAACTTACATAGGTATGCTTGGGTGCAAACCAGCTGACACTCCAATTGAACAGAATCATAAGTTACAAGAAAATCCTGGTGATGTTCCCACCAACAAGGAAAGATATCAACGACTGGTGGGTAGATTAATTTATCTCTCTCATACTAGACCCGATATTGCTTATGCTGTAAGTGTTGTTAGTCAGTTCATGCATGCTCCTAGTGAAAGACATATGGATGCTGTCAACAGGATTCTACGATACTTGAAGAGTACTCCTGGAAAGGGTATTATATTGACCAAAAATGAATCCTTAACTATTGAAGGATATACTGATGCTGATTGGGCAGGTGATAATACTAACAGGCGTTCTACCTCTGGTTACTTTACTTTTGTTGGTGGAAATCTGGTTACTTGGAGAAGTAAGAAACAAAAGGTTGTGTCTCGTTCGAGTGCTGAAGCTGAATACAGGGCAATGGCCCAAGGTATTTGTGAATTGTTATGGGTCAAGAATGTGATGAAAGAATTAGGTTACAAACCTAGAGTTGCTATGTCATTGTACTATGATAATAAAGCTGCCATTGCTATTGCTCACAGCCCTGTGCAACATGACCGTACCAAGCATGTGGAAGTGGATAGACACTTTATTAAAGAAAAGTTGGAAGCTCATATTATTGATGTGCCATTTGTGAAGACAGAAGACCAGTTAGTTGATATCTTGACCCATGTTGTTTCCACCACTGCGTTTTCCAACTCACTTGACAAGTTGGGCATGCGAGACATCTATGCACCAACTTGAGGGGGAATGTTAGCATGAGTTGGAAAATATGGTTGCATGGTCAACACGTGTGGGCACCTTATCTTGTTTAGAGAATATTGTTTTATGGTAGATAGTTAGCATGTGTTAGGAAGGATTTAGACAACTAGCTTATCTTTATCTCCATACTTTTATGGAGCACTTTCACTTTGTAATGTGTATATATATTGACCTCCCCATTTGGAGGAATATTGAAATAAAACTACTCTGTATCTGACAAAAAGAGCAATGGAAACTCACATGAAAAGCCA